AATACTTTGACTTTTTTTTTTTTTTTTTTTTTTTCAATCTGCCACGCATCATGGTGTCAATTTCAACAGGGACCATATCGTGTAGATATTAATGGAATATTATCAGTTGAGATATTGAGGCAAACTGGCAAGTATTTCACGGACGCGTGTAAATTCGATTAGTCAACGTAGATCGGCAGGCTCACCCAATGCGAGCCGAGATGATGACTGTGAAGTGACGGAAGTCATTAAGCCCCTTAAGGCGGGACTGGCAAGTCCGTCGTAACTGTTGTTAACAGGCCGTGCGAATGATGCAGCAACGGATTCCCAGAAATACGTTGCTGATTCAGCAACAGGTAGTAACGCCTCGACCTTATAGTACAGGTTGGCCAACACGATACACAGAAACCGTCCCATTCACACGTATGCTCGTCGCTGGCACTGCGACTCCCACACGTGTCGCTCGCGTTCATTCATAAAAATTCTGATTCGGAGAATTGACATTTCTCTTAAGGTCCAGGAAGGTGACTTGGTCAAGTCAACTTTAGTTGGGCTAGGCTCGACGTAAACTGTGAGTATGACTGTGGAACACAGCTTTTCAAGGCACACCTTTAAATTGTGCATGGAAAAAAAATTGGATTTTCATTGAAATTTGTTTTTTACATCTGTTTCGTAATCTTGGGCAAGTTGATAATTAAAAAATTTTTTTTTCATATCTGTAAATTCATTCTTATACGACTGTACGTGTAATTTCGTGGGATTTTATCTTTTAACGTTCTTTCGCAACGAGCTTACTGATAAATCGAAAAGTTATTGGGAAATTAATTTTTTTCGAACGCTATCGGAATAATAGGTGTTCGATTTCGAAATTCGATATACGTATAAGGAGGGACACGTGACGTTCCATGTTAGTCAGGGGTCATTCGCTGTAACTGTAACGACACTCATTGAAACACTTAATCACCCTTTGTTTATAATAAAGATCCGTCGTTATTTGTAGTTATGCAATTACCTGTCAGTTTTGACGATAGGTTATCGAATTTTCGTATTTGTCAAATAAAATATATTTTCCAATGATTTTCAGTCGTGAAGTCAATCTTGACTGTCGATAAGATCTTCTTTGATTCTTCGTGTAATTCTAGCGTTGCCCGATAATTATGAAGAAAACGTAATTTATATTCTACAGAGGTATCGTATGCACGGGTTAAATCACATTGGAAAAGTCACGTGGCATTTGACTGTCAAGTCAAAAAACAATAGTCTCTAGCAAGCCACGTGCAGCTTTGCATACAATGTTTATTGCATAATACGCACGTGCGTTTCTTTCCATAAATATATATTTCATTCTTTCAACTCAAGCGTATTAATATTTGGGAATAATATTTGGGAAAGCCACGTGTAGTGTATTAAGGATTGTATTTGACAGCTGTCAAAAACAGAACCGACCATATACTGCGCACAGTCCACATCGATTGACTCACTTATAAGACCCATTTCGGATAACTTTGGTTGCTATTACGCATTAACAAAATACAATTGGATCGAATCTGCACGATTCGCAGTGACTTTTAATGAAATATATCATTAATACGAAACTTTTATACCTGCCACGTGGTTAACTTATTTTTTCCAGCTACACAGAGGCCAATAACTATATGTAAAAGTACGTCTATTCGGCGTGTCAATCCAGTTACGTAATTTGAGCAAGTTACGAAATCCTAATAAAAAATAGTGATTCGGTGTAATTTCGCGGAATCCTAAGAAACGTCGACCTCAAAACCCATTACATCCGATTTTCGCTTCCCTCGACAGAGTCGACCAGGAATCCCGCATTCCTTCGAGATGCGTCATTCATTCATACGCATCGTAATCTCATTCTGCCCGTTTCAAACGTAGTAAAAGTATCATACGAGGATACCAGCTCACCCGGACAATTTCCCAAGAACCACGTGAATAATCAATGTTGTCGTCCATATCTCGCATAGCCTCTAGATAATTAATCGTAAGACGGGAAAAAAAGTCTCAGAGCCCATATTACATTTCCCCACGTTATTTCCTATGCACTATCAGCCACCTTTCCTTTTACCTGCCTTACGTCCATTTCGTATATCAATGTACAACGTTATTGGCAATACCCTCTGTCTTCCTTAGCATCGTCGTTATATCCTTATATTATATCATTGTACAACTACAGGCAGAGTCGAGGTCAAAGTACGACAATGCATACGGCAAACATTTGGTCGAACCCACATCCTGGCTACTTATCACTGAATGACTGACGATACTTGATGTCAGTTCACGTAAGAAAAATCAAGCTTCCTGCTTGAGAATAAAATTTTCTTTGTAAATCAAACGAATTATGCATATCACTGTTTTTATTCGTACGTATTTAATTGTACCCCACGAAACTTGATTTCTTTAACGGTTAAAAGGTACTTGGTCTTTTACGACGAATACCTGTTTTTTTTTTTATCGATCTCACATGCTGAGATCAAAAATAAATATTCAGATAACATCACGGAATTGGTAACGAGTCATGAGATATGGGTATGGTCGTTTTTCTTATCGCGTATCTCATTCTTATCATTATCTCGTTATCGTTAAAGCGCAGCTCTTATCTCGGTCCAGAATACCGAAAGGCACGTGATCACGGGTGTTCGTAAATAGATTAATCGATCCTCAACCCGATCACTAGGTTTGCAATAGAAAATACCTAGGGGACACCTGATTCAGTTTTTTCCGTTCGTATTTTATTTTTTGGTCCTGTTATCGAAGGTCAGATATCGACGGAGGAGGTTCTCGAGGTGCTCGTCAAATTTTTATTACTCTATTATCTGACTTACATATTTTGTGAATCTAGAGCGAATTCGCCAAGGACGCCGTTCAAGAGTTATAGTCGTTTAGTTATGGGAAGTATTAATCTTGACTTCCGTTATCTCTGAAAGCTCGCGAGCACGCATTTGCCATTTGCATTGCGCCGTGTATTTAAAAGTGCCTAGGTAAAGGTAGTTAAAAGTCGGAATTTAAAAGTGCACATGGTCTCGAAGGTTACGGAACAATTTGAGGCAATAAGACAAACACTTTTTTTTTTTAACCAAAGGATGTCAATGATACACAAAAGCGATACCGGACGACCATAGTCATCCATTCCATTGTACCTGGATATATCGATGTCCTTTATCACTTTTTAAAAGTCATTTTTTTTGTTTAAATTTTCAAACGACAAAATCACTCTCGTCAAACTGTTAAATTTCAAAATTTAATTTCTTTTATTATTCGTGTTATCTGATATCGGTTTACCGCTTTTACGGTATCATCGTAGCCATTGTCTTCTAGCCGTGCTAGCAGCTGACTGTTATGAGTATTTATTGGTTACCCGTTACATAAAGTTACCTGCGCTATTATAGTCTTACGTTAAATGGTGTTGTCTTCTTTAATGACACTCTATTTTTTTTTTATTAATTATACGCTCAGAATTGTACTAAATTATTATTATGCTGTCGTTAAAATGTTATTATTTTTTTTATTGTTTATAATTAAAACTGGCTGTAGTTGGTTAGTAATAATTTTTTTTTTTTTCCACAGAGATACCTGTCGCAGTTCGGATACCTGCCGCCAGTCAATCCTGCGAGCGGGGGTCTCATCTCCGAGGAAACGATGTACAGGGCAATTTCGGAGTTTCAGTCCTTCGCTGGAATCAATGTGACAGGTGTGTATATTCGCGAGATTTTGCAAGCAGATCTTACGATGCCAAAATTGATAGTTAAAATACGAGGGGTGACTGGTTTACCGTGAGGCACGTTGAATCGTGGTATTGCATGTTATGCACTGGTTATTGTAACGAAAAAAAAAAAAGATATTTTTTTCTCAAATATGGAACTTACAAACCGGAAGTGCTCGAAAATTGTAAATTTTACTGTACCGTGTATACGCTTATCGTATTTCCTGTAGATTAGACCCGATTGATTCTGTGATTCATTCGGTTATCTCAATGCACTCGCGGATACTTTTTTTTTTTTAACCGGAAGTACCGAATATATGTAAATCTGATCGTTCCGTGTATATGCGAAGGTAGATATCGCCTAAAAGATTTGGGCCATTTTTTTTTTAAATTTCCTCGCAGAAAGCATGACGCGACAATATTATTAAATTTCTGAGATAAAGGTAAAACGTAACAATATGAAAATGCTGAGAAACAGCAAAATCAGATATGCTCTTCGAGGCAGTGAGAAATCTTAATAATTTCTGTAAAAAAATCGTCGAAGGACCAAGGACATTTCCTAGTCTATGATTATTAGGAAGTAATATTTTTCCTAGAAACTATAACGATAATCAACGTCGATCGACTATGCTGTAATCGAAAACTTGTAGTTTTCCCTTCTTATTCGAATTATAAAAAAAAATGGTTTTTTCCAAATTCATTTTAAAAACTCGCGATGCTTTTTTGAATTGATAAAAAAAAATTATTTAATTAATCAAAAAATGTGATATCGAGTCGATTATTCGTACTTGGAAAATTTCGAGTTTCTGGCAGTACGTATAACAGAACGATTATGCAGGATATACAAGAAAATTCTTTTTGGAGAGTGGAATATCTTTTGAAAATTGAAGCTTCTTTGTAACACCACTCTGCAATACGAATTGCACCGAGTTTACTCGATGAATCATTCCTGCGTTTAACGAACGACCTGTACAGTTGAGTCATAGGGCAGAGTCATTTTCTTATGATAAAAATTCTAATTCCACCAGATAAATTGACAAAGTGCTACGAGGTATGTCAAGGTCCGATACGAAATTATTTTCATTAGATTACAGTATCAGAATGGTAACGATCAGTTTGATTATTTTCGCAAGCAGGCGATTAGATCGAAAATTTTAAACGCCTGGGAGAATCATAGACGTATCGTACTCGCAATGCATATACATATGTAGTTTTATCATTAACATGTGTGAAACGTGACAAAGGCACGAAAAGTGGAAAAAAAAAAAATATTATCGGTCGTGTGTATAAAATAAAAAAAAAAGCAGGTGGCATCGTTGAAAATACACGAAAACATTGATTGGCACGCGAAGATTTTGCGCAGATATAAAAAAAAAAAAAGCGTATGGACGTGCGATTTTCGTTTCCTTAAAGCAAGTGCATAGCTAACAATAGGAGTCTAGACAGCGAGTGACCGAAGACGGACGGTCGTTCGCGGAACGAAAGTCGTGTGCCAACATCGAGAAACACGTTCCATCCTAAAAGTCAAGTATCTCCTTAGTGCGTACGAAAGAAAAAGAAAAAAGAAAAAAACATGTGACAAATAGCGAAGCAAGAAAAAAAAAGTAAAAGCCGGAATAAATAAAGACGAAGGAAGATCTGTCGGGTGAGTCGGCCGAGAGTGGAAGGTGTCGCCGATGAAACTCCGAGGCATTCGAGTAGCCGGGCAGCCAGTTCAGCCCGAAGTAGGCAGCTCGAGGTCGAGACGCCGAGATAAACAAACTTTTCCCACTGGTCACTGTCAAGGCGAACCTCTCTTGATTCGCCAAGTCAAAGCAAAAGGAACTCCTTGCGCGCAGCATGCTTAATGTGTCTTTTTATTGAGAAAATGGAGTTATTCGAAAGACGAAAAAAAAAAAAAATATTCAAATTAGCTCCAATGGTATTCAAGATACGTATTGGGTTAGGTTAGGTCAGTTTAATCGTTTTAGTGTATTTGAGTAATTTTTGTATTAAGAGCGTCGGGGGAGACGAGGGGGTTCTTAATATATTTGGGTTTGACAATCTTTTGGTCCAGCAGCATCCAAGTCCTTCGTTTATCAAAGATGAGAAGTATGTTAGTTAAGCGTCGAGACGCGTGAAATTTATTGGTTTTCCGTTTTTACGTCCGACTGTGGAATTCAATGCGGCCGAATAGGAACAAAAGATTCGACGCACATGGAGTCCTTGTTGTCCCCATGGGAAGAGACTCGGTATCCTGGGACAAGTGTTCTTGGCATGCTTGACAATATTCCACGATGACTCAGAGTTCGATGAAACTGAAACGAGTGGCGCTTGATGACTGAGTCACTGGGAACGTCATTGCTCTCGCGGTGAACTTATTAATTCCGGTGGCAAATTCCAGTCCGGTGCTTCTTCGTGTTTTATCCTATCCTTTTATCGGTTTGACGTTCGTCAATGATTTTCATTAAACACGACGACCGCTAATGCAGATTGTTACCTGTTCGAATAAGAGTATTAGGTTTCCGTTACGTTGGAAATAAATAGCGAGTTGAAAAGAAACAAAGCAGAAGTTCGGTCGAGTCGTTACTTCGTAGTCTATGACCGCGATCAATGCGATTTTCCAAAATAAATGACGTAGCACGAAATTATTTTGAAAAACATTGAAGTACTCGCGTAAGGATGTGTAAATAAATATTTATTATTGTCACTTGAGATGGTTATGAAAATTTTGTTTTTTTGGAAATTTCCAAAAAAATTTTCAACTCGAAATTGCTCGAAATTTTTGATAAGTCATGTCATAGGAGACAAACTGGCAAACGTGTCTCTGAATATTGCAAGTTATGTTTTTTCGATTATCATTGCTTCTGGATCAATGATTTTTTGGATTGATCTTCTATTGGAAATGTATTTGACGAGTGTCGTTCCGCTGATTTTCAGAGGAAACGAAATCGAGGCACTTTTCAATGAGTGGCTGCTACGTCAGTCCAGTGTCAATGCCAATCGCGTTTCCGCAACTGTCTAGTTTCTCGGTAACCTGGAGCATAGGAATTAATGACTCGGCAGGAACACAGCGTTCCTTGCGGGAGAAGTTGAAAGCTTGCAAAAAACGTTCGAGATTCATTCTTAGGAATTCTCGAACGTTCTAGAGCGAAGATTGTCATCGTTTGATTCCATGGTCATCGCCAATGCACATAGATCGTACGTATACGTAACTCGGAGAATTCAAAGGACAATATGGAAACTCGGCTTTATGTAAACTTATAATATCAAATAATCGTCGATTAAATTACGATTCGTGCTGTGAGCTTTAATTCGAAGAATAATAAGAACGTCCCGAAAGTAATTTTCGAAAGTCCTCAAGTGCAACAGGGCAAAAAATGGATGATGACCAAGAGAAGACTCGCGATAAACTCAGTACCGAGAAAGAGCAGGATCGTTTCGATGACGGCTCTAATAAAAAGTGAAGGCAACCGGATGAATTATCTAACCGGAATTGCATGGAAAAAAATAATAGGTAGAGACTGGTAAAGGATCGGAAGATTAGAGAAAAACTGAGAAGCAAATAACGTTGAAGACCTAAATAATTATTAAATATTTTTCTTTTACCATAGGCTGCTTACAAGTTAGCATTAGACAGGGTGTAAATTAATGAAAGGAATAATGAAAGAAAAATATTAATTTCGATCGTCAGATTTGTAAAGGACAAATATTTTTAAAAACAACAAAATCGATTTTATATCGAAAGCGCGAAGAAATAGTCAAATTTACAAAGCCGTGCGAAATTTTTGATCCCACTTGCAAAATCTCATACGGACGATGTTACAGGATTTCGATATTTTCTCTCCCCGGTACCTGACAGTAGAAGCGACACCATGACGGTGTAATGAACCGCGAAAACAATGTAATAGCACGGTTGGCTGACGGGGAAACCCGGGAGAGGCTAATCGTTACGCAACTCGATCGGTCGCACCATTAAAAAAGTACCCGTTATCGATCGCCAGGACGATTGCCAACGCCTCGATTGTCTGGCAAATTTTGAACGGTGTGAAGAAAAGAAAAAAAAAAAATTGAAAAAATGAAAAGAAATAAATCTACGTTCAAATATAATGAATTATTGCAGGTATCAGAAAACAAAAGAAAATAAACATTCTTTACTCGATCATCCTTATACAACTTTGTGAAGCTTCTCTTGAGTTCATCCGTTTAAAGTAATTTTTCGAAATTTAATTTAAAAAAAAAAAAAATTGAAAAAATGAAAAGAAATAAATCTACGTTCAAATATAATGAATTATTGCAGGTATCAGAAAACAAAAGAAAATAAACATTCTTTACTCGATCATCCTTATACAACTTTGTGAAGCTTCTCTTGAGTTCATCCGTTTAAAGTAATTTTTCGAAATTTAATTTAAAAAAAAAAACAATTTCAAATATACCTATTTATAACACACTGTGGTAAAAAAATTTTTTTTTTCAATTAATTATGCATTATACGTATTTTCTGTAATACGGATGTAACGTACGTTAGCTTAAGGAAGATTAAAATGCTCCAACGCAAAGCCCTGGCAGGCATCGACTGACAGCCCCAATTCATGCAGTGGGTCGAGTCGAGTGTTCCAATTTGAGGATCGATTGGCCACGAGGCTAGTCGCTCTTAATCCTTGCAGGATCGAGGACATTTTCTGGGAGCGCACTTAAATCAAAACAGGACTACCAAGGAAACCGTTGATCAATGTTTAATGTCCCTTCGCGTGACTGGTTGCTTCTGTTCCCGGTTTACGCGGAGCTTACTGCTCGCTTGGTATATCTATATCGCGATACAAGCGATATATGTACCATAGATACACGTACAGTTGTACTGGCTGGTGAGTATATATAGATATACGCGTTAGGTGCGCCAGTTACCCGAGGATCAATATAATAGAATCCTTCGAGCTGGCTCGGCTCAAACTTTGCCTAAAAACTGCTCAGTTTTTTACTTTCCTCGCATCAAGCAGACTCTGCTCTCGTAATTCTGTAACGAAACATGTTATTAATTCTCTACGCACAAATGGCTGAACGGTTGGCGGAAAATGAATGAAATTTCTGAAGGCTCGTACCCTGGGTTTTCTAACAACAGGCTGCACCGACGTTGCGCACTGAAAGGATCCTATGCGTCTCTAACCTGTTCCAGGTTGGATCGATAAAGTAGGAATTAATGTATCGACCGAGTCGTTTCACATAAATATTTATCGTGAATAATGGCTTAATGGTGTTTTCGTAAAATATAATAATACGTAACGATGACAATTAAGGAGGAATCCAAATTTTTACTGGAAGTTTACGTAATGGTATATGGGTAATGGGGGTCTATGGGTAATTATGGATAATTACACGTTATTATAAAGGTATTCGGAAAAATAATCATCGATCTGAATAGTCTGCGAGTACGGTATACATATATGATAAATGCGAAATATTCGATTCACGTTCGAAAATTAATACGCGAATAGATACGAGTTTGGTGAGACTCGAGATAATATATAATCAAAAATAAGTGTATCAGGAAACTACATTACAGTTGAGTAAATATTGTTTTTATCGATTTTCAGGAACTTTGGACGAAGACACTGCACATTTGATGTCTCTACCGAGATGCGGAGTGAAGGATAAAGTGGGAGCAAGTTCCGACGGAAGATCCAAGAGATACGCTCTCCAAGGTAAAAAAATTTTGTTAACTTTCGTTTTAATTTTTTTTTTTTTTTTCAATCGCTACCAGCATCAGACTTTAATTTCCAAATCTTTAAATCGTTTGAGCAAATAACCTATTTTTCGCCTATAAATTCTCAAAGAATATTTTGTAATTCCAAATTAAAAAGTCCCACGTACGTGTACACGTAAAAAATATGAAAAGTCTACAAGTCACTGTAGTTTGGTCGAAATGGAAACATTTAATATGTCAGACTTAAAATTTGTGATATTTACTTTCTCTGGGTACACATACAATATATTGATTTTCCCGAACGAAGTGAGGTTCGGTCTGTTGCAATAATGCTCGGTTAAAAATATGCGTAAGAAACTTAAATAATTACGAAAGCCGATAAAGACCAATCGAACGATGAAAGTATTTAACGGCCGCACAGGAATTGTCACTTGAAACCCAGGTATTCCGTCCGATCGTTATCCAGCCGAGGATAATCCATTGGTTTTTCTACGATTCTAGCGAAATCGAAAAATCTAGGACGAAAGTCTGTTCTAAGCGTAACGGCGTTACAGTAACAGTATGGCATAATTAAACGTCGATCTGGCAAGTGATTTTATAACCCGTGGACAAATATTCGCATCCATTAAATATAATTCATTTTCGTTTTCGTTTGCAATTCGTCGAGGACGCCATTCGTCGATGTAAAATTTCCAAAAACTCATTACGTTAAAGATACGATGATCGCAATAATCCAAGTGTTCAGCTCGGCGCAAGCACGTGGTCCGATACATAAAAATATTATGAAGTAGATAGGCTAGGCTCTCGATTAATTATTCGCTGCATCGACTACGTTCGATTCGCAACGCTCGATTTCGTCAGCTGTCGATTTTGAACCTGGCGATACGAAAAAAAAAAAAAAAAAAAAAAAAAATTACACGTAAAGTTAAATAAAAAAAAAAAGTAATAATCTCAATTCTCAAATTTTTCTCAAAATAAAAATAATGAAGCTATCGTCAGCGCGACTCTTGCACGCAGTCGAAACACCTCGGAGAACTTCAACGTAATTGGCTGCCTCTTACGCCGGGGATACCATTGATAGGATCGATTTGGATGCACGATGCGCACTCTTTTCTACGAGACTGGTCGTCGACTTGACTGTCAACCATTTCGACTTCCTGCTTTGTTAACGTTACAGGACGTCACGATTCGGGGACTCGTCCTAACGGCAGTCAAACACTGCATCGGTTCGACCGGGAATCTTTTTTTCCACCTCGACTCTCTAAGCCCAGCTGTTTTCCATCCTTTAGTTTCTATTCGCGTCTTATTACGGGTCACTTCGCCACGATCGACTCGCTGCTACCACGGCTGTCATAAAAGCTTATGAGCCAATGAGGCCCAACTTAAGTGTTGTTTTTGTAAAATCTTATATGCTATTCAAATAGAAAATATTTTTCTCGAGTAAAACGACCCGTTAGTATATATCCTCTGTGGAGTTCAAAAAAGGTATATGACAATAGAAAAAGAAGGCGATCGTACGTGAATAGCTTAAATCAATACCGTGGCATCGCGTATGTTGTTTCGTGTAGGCGACTTGTAAAACGATTTATAATATTTACATAGTACGTTTCGATATTAATAAAAAATATGATAAACTGATTAGTGCCAGACTACAAGCCAAAGTAATTAGCTTTGACGAGCTCAATGCCGAGATTGTCAATGAATTCGCGCGCGTTTAAGTATAAAGCCGATACTCGATTCACCTGCAGAGGTTGTTATTGTGACTTTGAGGGGATCAATGTCAATTATACTTATACTGGCTTAATTAGCAGCGCATACAATACGGTCGTTTGATCGTTGCTCGTTCATTCTTTTGATTTCATGCAAATACGATATTTGCCTGTGTTAATTATTGCAATTTACGTTTCGAGACTTCTTTCAATGAACCTCCGTAATGTCAAATGACCATACGAAATGTTTTGATCGAACGTTTAGTTCTTTGATTGAAAAATGGAGTAGATAGATTAACGTCCATTTGAGTCTATCTAGCTATTTGATTTGTTCCTGTTAACGAAGCAATTAAGACGACGGCAGAGTGACCTCTGACTATCCCGATAGTAAAATATTAATATATCATTATACGAATTCTTGATCGATTTGTCAAAATGCACAGGGAAACGCGAATGTATGTTTTTGACAATTATAATTAAATTTTTTAAGGATTTCCAAAATATTTTTCAAACCAATATTTGACCAGGAAATTTTTATTGCGATTATATATATATATTTTTTTTGGATATTATACAATTTTTTGAAAAATGCTGTTAGCAATTTTATAATACATACATATATATATGTCGTTAGTCATAGTACACAATGCAAAAAAGTGCGGGTGAAAGAGTTGAAATGATTTTTTTCTTAATGCCAGATTAGAAAATAAACACTTTCCAGTATATTCTGCGTTATTCTAGTACTGCAATGTACGTGCATTGCCGTGACTTTGAACCTCGCGCTATTCCTCTCACCGATTCAGTGAACTCGCCAAGCGAATTCATCCGTGCGTGTTTCCCATGAAATTCCACTGGAACGAGCCGAGGGACAGCGAGGATACGACTCCTGTTAGCGTCGGAATTAAAAACACGTGGGACCGTATTGAGAACGCATATTCGCGATCTGCGATCGACGATATGCGCCTTTTTAAATACGGGAAGACCTTCGCTCTCTCGTTCTGGGAGTTTGACGTGGTTGGTGTCGGGAATGAATCGCGCGCCAAATTTGAATTATCAAACGCGTCGAACATTCGGGTAATTAAAAGCGTCTCGATTCAAAGTCTCGTATTGCTAATGCTACACGACGCGCTCATTGATTTGTGACACGATTACTTCTGCCGGCCGAGGCTCTTGTATTAATTAACTATAGAACAGCACCCGTATGATAAGTAATAATTGTAGATTCGGCAGTATCATAATTTCATAATACATAATTCGGACATGAATATTTTTTTTTTTTTTTTTTTTTTCGTAATATTGCAATATTTATTTTCATGGAAATTAGTATATTCCATTGGTCGTTTCGTGACGGATCAGCGCGATTCGATTTCAGCTATTGCTTCAAATTTGCAATTTTTTTATCTTTTTGTCTATTTACTCAAAATTTTATTTAATAAATATGAAAACGGACAATACATCTCGCGCGAGTAAATTCGCTGCGGATAGGCTCCGTGTTAATTATGATCTAACGCCGATTGTGATTACATCTGGTTTATGGATTACGTAAGGACAACAGCGAAAAAGGACTTTTGGTCTTTTATGTAATATGAATCGAAGCGATAAAGGCATTACGGGAGAAAGAGCTGTCGCGAAACTATGCCAAATCGCGGAATGTCAATCGTGCGGTTAACGGAAAAATTATGAGATACGGAATTATATCGCAATTTGATTTTGAATGGGTGAAACTTTTTTTGCTGCGTATGCCAGTCTCTGAGGCAATTTGTACAGGATTGAAATTCACGTAATCGAGATGAAAAAGATTGCAACGCGTGACGCACTTATCGATCTGCGCCAAACTACCGATTGGCTGAGTCGGTTGAATGCATTACTTGTCTGATGAAAAAAAAAAAATAATATAATACAATTAAATAAAAATTTTCTTTCTATCCGCGAACAAGAATTGATAAAATTGACACTTTTGATAGTTTATTTTTCGAAAAATTAAAATCGGATTTTCTGCAAAAATAATTTAATTTCATATAATTATATACGATTGTATGTAATTCTTTTTGAGCGGGTAATAAAAAAAAAATTTGGATTCTGAGGGCTGATTTTTCGATTAGTCAAGGCAGCGTATAATGACCGAACTAAAAAAATGTTACTATTAATTTTTTTTTAATCAAGGAAATTAATTTAAAGGCAAAAATTTTTTAACGAAAGGTTCATAGCCGATTAATAATTCGCACTGTTATAGAATGTCACATGGCACTTTCTGACTGATATTTTGAATCAACAGGTTCGAGATGGCGCGTTAAGAAATTGACTTATAAAATCAGCAAATACCCAAGAATCTTGGAGAGAAATGCAGTCGACAAGGAAATCGCTAAGGCATTCTCAGTATGGTCGGAATACACTGATCTGTCCTTCACGCCCAAGAAATCTGGACAGGTATGTCTCGATCTTAGTCGGTTCAAGCCTCAAAAGTTCTAAGACATTTATAAGAATGCTAAATAATTTTTTTTTTTTTTTTTTTTTTTTTTTTTTTTTT